CCCCGTCTCTCTCTCTGACTCCAGGCGCCAGGCCTCCCTAGGTCCCCCCGCACAGGGAGGGCTGTCCCCGTCCCTCTCCAACCCCCACCCCCACTCCTGGCTGCTCCCACCCACCAGGTTCCTCTGCTCCCTGAAGGTGACTCGCCAGCAGCATCCTCCGCAGGATGCCTGTCACCACCTCCTCAGAGCTGTCTGCCCCTCCCCCGCCCCCACCCAGGTGCCAGCTGCCTCGAGACAGTCCCTGGCCTGCCCTGGTGAAGGGCAGACAGTGTGGTGGGCGAGAGGCGTCAGGAGACCTGGGCTCCCAGCTCCCGGCCGGCTCGGTGACCCTGTGCCCTGGGCTGTCACCAGTCAGGAGCCTCACAGCCCCGCAGCCCAGCCACCACCCCAGTCCCGGCCTTTCTGGCTGCCCCCTGAGCCCTCCCCATGCTGCCCACAGGGGAGCGCATCCTGGCCAGCGGCTCCGTCCAGCTGCCTCGCTTCACGCTCCTGGAGTCGGGCAGCCTGCTCGTCAGCCCCGCGCGCATCTCCGACGCCGGCACCTACACCTGCCTGGCCACCAACTTCGTGTGGGGTGAGTGTGCCGGGCAATACACGTCTGTGCGTGCGTGTGCACCAAGCCCTGCAGCCCCGCAGAGCGCACGCTCACACCGCCGGCCCCTCCACGTGCCCGCGTCTGTCCGGCCGGGACGCTCCTTACAAGAGGGACTCACTCATTCCGAGGAGAGGGACCAGGAAGCCAGGCGCCGTGGACGATGCCGCGGGATCGAGGGCTGTGCCGAGCTCGGCCGAGTAGAGAGAACGCAGCGGTGCCGGACAGCTGTCTGCATGCGCTTTAGGCAGAAACGTTTTCTGTGACCGGCCAGAGTGTAAATACTTCAGGCTTGTGGGCCAGACGGTCGCAACTCCTCAACTAACGCTTCGGTCTCATCGGGAAAGTACCATGGACGCTACTTAATCCATGGCCGTGGCTGGGGTCCCGCCCACGTGTGCTCACCCAGACAGCCCCTGGACGTGACCCCAGACTGTCGTTAGCTGACCCCTGCTCTAAGGAAACTTCCCGAGTCCTTTCCAACGCTCTGCCTGCACCCCCACACTGGGGGTCCGCGCCCGAGACAGACACAGCTGTGGGGCTCCTGGGTGGGCTGCGTGGCGGTAGCCCAGTGAGCAGCGCACTAGAGCATGAAGCAGTTGATCCTACGTTTGCTTTGCGTGGACCACTCGTGTGCTGGGAAGAGGACGCTGACCATCCCCAGATTTCTGGTGTTTTATCCCGCGCACGGTGTGTGGGAGCACCGCTAAACTAGCCCTCACTATGCACGTGGCTCCCAAGAGTCCAGGTCCCAGGGAAGCACGGTGCCTTTTTAATGTCCAGGGACACTCGCTGTGGTCTTCCTGTCCTCCTGTTGGTCTGCCTTCATCCCCCCCACACACACACACACACACAGAGTCCAGCCACACAGTCTGGGTCGCCTGCCGACACCTTCCCAACCCCTGCCTCTCGCCTGTGACTCTGGCGCCTGCCCCTCCTCTCACCGCCGCCCCCCTGCTGTCTTTCAGCCCGGACCCGCATCACCAGGCCGCCCCAGGACCAGAGTGTCATCAAGGGCACCCAGGCCTCCATGGTGTGTGGCGTGGCCCACGACCCCCGGGTGACCATCAGGTACTCCCTCTGCTGTGGCCCCAGGGAGGCCAAAGGGAGGGCGGCTTTGAGGGTGGCTGGTAGCTGGGCGAGTGTCTGCACCAAGAAGGTGAGTATTGCCCGTGGAGCCACAGAGCATCCTTGGGGGGACCATTTACAGACCTGGTGCAGGGCTGGGGTGTACGGGGCGCTGCGTAAATGCTTGGGGAGCAAAGTGAGCTGGAACTGAACTGGGCCATGTCAGAGGGAGAGGGAGAGAAGAAGGAGTGTGGTGGTCTTCCTGTCCTCCTGTTGGTCTGCCTTCACCTCCCCCCGTCCCCCCCCCAACAGAGTCCAGCCACG